CAGATTCTTTGAAGTCAGAAGCATCTCCAGTAGAAGGACTTACATTTTCTCTCTTCATGTTGTGAAGTATTAAGTTTTTGCGTAATTTGGCTTCTGGATAATTCAGGCTTCGGGATGGTACCTGCACTTAAATATCCCTTTGCATTAACTATCGTAAGAAGCGTGATTGTTCCTTTGCAAATTTAATTTTAATTTGGGTAAATTTGATTGTGACATTTATAATTCAGTTGGTCAAACTAAGGTTGGAATAGCATAGATTGAGATGTTTTACAAATTCTCCAAGGGAATGAATTTTGTGACTTTAGAAAATTTGAGTCATTATTTAAATTAATCTACACTGAATGTTAGTTCTAGATATTTCTGGGTACTGAATGTAGGCTAAGTTATTTTTATACTTTTTAATAGAAATCAAAGCTCCTTGTGCAAACAGAAAGCAGGAAGCTACATTTTATACAGACCTGGTCATTGCTGACTACGTGTTGTGAAAATGGCAGTATAGGCTCATATTTAAAGAGCTTTTCAGCTGTATTAAGTGATTTAGGAGACTGTTGTCAGCTAAGTTTTTGCTTTTTTTCAGTCCTATTCTGAATTACTTTATCCTTGGTAGTTGTGTTTGCAATTTTAGCTGGAGCTTCTTGTAATAGCCTTTTCTTAAGAGTAATCTCAGTTTTCTACTGGCTGTTTTTTCCTGCATTGATTCTTAGGATTATTAGAACTTTGTCAGATTATGGGTGTTTCCCAGAGCTCCATCAGAAATTGCACCCCACCCATGGCTTTTGAATTTTGCAGATTTTTTTTAATGCTGGGACAGTAGTATCCTAAAAACATAAATGCCATTCTCAACCAACTAATCACATTTTGTATGTGCCAGAAAGTACTGAAGTCAAGTTTCAAGGCTTTTGCTATGTTTTTATGTTAAGCTGGTGAAATGGACTGTTCTAGCTACAGCTTATACCAACAAAAGTAGCTCCTATTGTATAGTTTATTCTAGCCTTTGTTTCTTCTTTCCTTCCCCCACAAGCATAATAAGCCACGGGGGGCAAAAGCTAGTTTTGTATTATGTTAGATATCTTTTTGAAAAGAAGCAAACAACAAGAAAAAAATAGAACCAACCAAAAAAAAAAAAAAAAAAAAACCCACTAAAAAGCCCATCAAAAAACTTCTCTGTGAATTACGTTCCTGACCGCAGCCATTCCAGAGGAAGGTGGTGGTTAAAGATGGTTGAGTGTCTTTTCCCAGATAGATGTAGAAATGTCAGTTATCACAGATCTGTTGGGAAATGAGGGCTAAATAGTAGATAAGTAGATCAAAACTCTTGTCAGGATTACTGCGAATTTTATTTACTCATTGTACACCTTTGCATTCTAGCGTTTCTCAAACTTTTTCCCTAGAGAGGGGCATGTTATTGGAGATACATAATTTTAGCAAACAGGGCCCTAATAATGTAAATGGAAAGTGACTAAAGGTAAATTTAGTCCTGACCTAAGGTCCAGCTCTAGTGACAAGTAGGTTAGGGGAGTTTCATGTGGTAACTTACATTTGAGCTCAAATTAATTGTACTTACATGAACCTTGTATCGTGAATGGTTATGAGGTTGATGCAAGATAAAATCTTTTCTGCTATCCTCACAGCTGTGAAAGTAGTTGTCTTAGTTGTTCTTGGTGAACCTGAATTTTGAAGGAGCAACTGTAACTTTTGTTTACTTGGGAAAGCAGTATTACGGAAGCTTTTGTAGCTGTTCTCTAGCTAACCTGAACGGTCACAAATTTTAACTAGCCTAGTGCGATTACCTGTAACAATTACTTTACAGCCTGTATATACAGCCTTTTAAATTATTCCTCAAAGAGATGCTTTTTGAGAATCGTTGTGTCTCTCTAGCTCAGATAGACTTCAGAGGTTGTACTTCTCTCTCTGAGCGATACCCACAGATGAGACTTTTCATTGCACACAGGCTGGAGAACTTCTTGTGCCTACTTTGGCCTCTTTCCTGCGTTGCATGAGAAGAAGTATCGCTGGTATGCTGCTTTTCTTGGTTTGCCACTGGGCAAGGCAATCACTGCTAGCGCTGAACCAGCCTTGGTTCACATTGACGGATTAGTGAGAAATGTTTGTGCTTTTAAGCGCTTTCAGTCCGTCTGTGTTGCTGTGGTATCGCTGGGGGTACACGTGAGATATCGCCCATCGCCGCCGTTGTAGTTTTCTGCCACTTCCTGTTCTCTGCCCGTATCAGAACAGGCAGCTGCTTATCCGTGATCGGAAGCCTAACCATTTTACAGCGGTCCTTGTACCTGCTGCGGGCCCCTTTTCATGCTTTGAATGGCAAGGCCTCAAGGTAAATGCTCTGTAACTACATCTCCCTTACCTGCTTCCGAGTCCCTTTTGATGCTCTCTGTATTACCTGGTGAGGGAGAGTGGCTTTCATTCTCGCTTCCTTTCCTGATAATGAGAATTAAGTCAGGAAAATCGGAACCAAAGCATTTGTGATTTTGAAATCTTTGCCTTTCCCTAAGGAGTCTTGGAGAACTACCTCTCTTGGACTTGCTGGTAAAGAATTTCAGGTGCTCGGTTATTCCAGGTGACAACACCCTTGAAATGTATAGTAGGTGTTAGAGTTTGTGCTGGAGTGAGAGGGATCTTCCTTGACAGCAGAAAGACCTTTGAGAGGTGAGTGTTGGTTAAGTACTGTAGGCTGGGTCGCTTTAAACAGTGAGAGTCTCAATGCTCTCAGTAGTCTGGGCCTAAACCTGGTGTCTCGATGCAGATCGCATCGCCTTCATCGAGGTGTTTGTGTGCCACTGCACGTACTGTATCCCATGGGGTGGAGCTTTGAACACCAGTCGATTTGAAATCCCAAAAAGGGGAGTTAATTCTGCAGGACCCTTTGAAGTTTGTAACACAAGGCTGCAACAGTCAGTCCTTGGGTCGGACGGGAGTTTGCTTGCTGATGATCTCTTTGTGAAACTTCTGTTACCTTTCCTTCAGCTCAACAATATCCAAATGATGATGGCCCATCTTCTCTATTCCCTTCACTTTTCCTTTGTGCCAGATTTAGGTATAGAGTAACCCCAAATTTATCCCTAGAGCGGTCTGTGAGCTCCTTGTGAACCAGAGAATGCTTACATTCAAGAGCATTCGCGTTTGAAGTTTTCTCCAAAGAGCACATTCAGTGAGTACAAGAGTACATGCCCTCCAGATAGGCAGTGTAGGGTAAGGCTTCCCATTTTATGTCAACAGAGCAAATGGATTAGTCTGAAGTAATGTGTTTCCATGAAAAAGCTGTGATGGTGTTAGGGGTTGTGTGACAGCCTGCTGCATTACCACAGTGGCCTGCCGTTGTCTGGCCTCAACCCTTTGATGCAAAGATTCAAACCTTGAATCACAAACCATCAAACCTGTGTTGAGAACAGTTATTGCTAATGTTTAGCTAATTGCAATGTTCAGAAGACGTGAGAATTGCTGCAGTGCTGTTGTGAAACCATTTTGCACGGGGGCAGAGTCACTGATGTAGTTCCTACTTGCAGCGAGGGAAGTGTTAGACTGGGGTTGACTCTGCCCAGCCAAAGTGCACAGGTTTACAGAGATGTCTGGGTTAGTGCTGATCTTAGTGTTTGATAATGTAAAGCCTGCATAGACCTTTCCCATTTTTTGAAAGATGTTTTGGCTCTTTATACCTGCAGGGTGTATTCTGTGGGCTTTTTTAACTGTACCTTTACATTTACCTTCTGTAACATGCAGTAGGGCTCCACCGCTGCTTGAAAATAACACTATTGCTTCTCCAGGCGCATGAGTATTACTCTAAAACCTGACTAAAGAATTTTTTTTTTCTGTAATAGAACTTATTTGAGAAATGAGCATATCTTTTGAACAGCATTAATGCATAAAGTCTACAGTTTAATGTGATAATTAGGAAATGGTCCTAGGCTAGGGAAAGGAGCTTGGAGACTTGTCTTCTGTTGCTTTGTATTGCCCAGCAAGACTTTTTTGAAAGGTCTGTCTGTCCTTAATCTTTTGGTAATTTAGGCAGGTGGCTTTGAGGCAATTACAGGCTGACTGGGGAACTTGGAATCAAAAAGCTGTGCTTGAACAAATTGAAGGGAGGAATCTTGGGCAGTATGTGAGGATGGGTACCTCTTTCCAAGGTAATTCTGGTGATGGATACATTAGTTTGGTCTAGATACGAATAACCCTCACTGCAAAGCGGTGTGCTAGGTGTTGTGTCTTCATTAGAAGTAGACCCAGTTCTGTAGAGCTGCTGTACCCAAATCCATTCTTGGTTTTGCACCGCCTCAGTGACTTTCAGAGTCTCTTCCAAATGTTATGTAGTCTGCTACCTCCAACTAGGAAGTGAAAAATTTCCTTGTATAGTTCGTTCTGTAAAGATTCATGAGCACAACTGAAAATAGGGCATTTAATCTGATATTAATCAGCCTTCATGAAGGCAAATTAAGTTATGATTTTAAAATGGGCCAGCTAGCCTTAAAATAATAAACACAGCTCTCCTACAAAAGGCGAGGAATTAGTGAGGCTCAGGTTTAAAACCCTCTAACACTTAATCTTGGATATGTTGTTTGTTTTTTGCTAAAAAGATTTTAAAAAAAAAAAAGCTTTCACTTGTAACCATTTCCTTTCTTTATTTCATTCCCCATTCAGGGAACTTAAGACTTTGAAGGTACTAGCAGAGAATGCAGCAGAGCTTTTCTTGCTGTGCAACTTCTGTCCCCCTGTTCTACCCACTTAGTGTAATAGTGTAGGTATATTTGATATTATTTCTTGGTGGATTTTTTCATTAAAGTAACAACACCTATGTTATTTGAAAATTACATGTGGTTTTGAGAGAAGACCATTGGAACTTTGATATTTCTACCCTGAGACAAAACTGATACAATATATTTGTAGCTGTGAATTTCTCATCTATGTACTCTGCCTGTCTTGTCCAGTAGTCTAGAACACAAGCGGAAAACAATGACAACTGTACAATAAATTCTTGTTTTATTTTGCAGGTTTGTCTTAAGGTGGAAGTGGATCTCGCAGCTTAATGCAAATCAAACAAACAAAGGTGAGAAGTTTTGTTTTGTTTTCAAATTCCTTGGATCCATTAGCATGTACTGCTAAACACGCGGAAAAAGTGGTCAGTGAAAATTGTATTGAAACTTGTATATTGATTACTGTAATTTATGGACATAGTATTACTTCTGTGATACCAAAATAGGAACAAAACACACACAGCCCTAATATTTAAGATTATGATGATAATTATGCTTTTCTTCCATAAACTATTATAGTCAAAAAACAACTATCAAGGCATTCTGCTAGCTGTTGAGAGCCAAAATTATGAATGCTTCAAATGAGTTTCATTTTCTGCATATTACCCACCTGGTTTCAAAGTCCCGAAAGTGTACTTTGCATTGTCAAAGCAGTGTGTTAAACTTGCACTTATTCTGTTAATAACTAACTGTGTGGGAAATTTGACCAGCTACGAGAATAGCATTTCAAATTTTTAATAATGAAATTATGTTGGGGTTTTTTTTCCCCTTTCCTGTCCTCAGGAACCCTTTTGGGAGCTATTTGAAAGACAAAGCATATGAAGATTTACTGCTGGTACTCATGAACTTAGGTGTCCATTTGCAACTGCAAAGTGTCCATCTAGGAAAAATTTCCTGTAACTTTGGCATTTCTCCCCCCTCCCTCCCCTTATTTGGGAAGAATAATTTAGCTAAACCCAGGTTTTGTTTGTCTTTAAGTTACTTGATATGCTACTTCAGGAAGTCTTTGAACTACAAAATTAATCTCTTCTCCATTAAGTTATGTGAAACATTTAACAAAGAGCAGTTTGCTTTAATCTGTTTTAGATTGATTCTTTCAAAAGTGTCTTTAGGTAAGGTGCCACAGTTGGGTAAATTCTCTGCTGTGGAGTTGGGGCACCATGGACTCATGTACGTAGGTTCCCATAACAAACAAAAGCTGGCTTCTCAAGTTTCCTGCTTGCTGTATGACTAATGTGACATCTCAGAATACAGCTGCTTGCGATGACTTGGTATTTTGAAGAGGTGAGAGGGAGATCCCGTTTGCTCAAATGAGCTTGTTCTTAATTTCTAATCTCTGATTAATACATAGATTTAATGTAGCTTTAAAAATGTAGTTATGTGCATTTTAAACTAGACCTGACCAGCTTTGTTTGTATCTTCTGCTATGCTAAGACTTTGGTAGAGCTACTGCTGTCAACTTTAAAATACTGATTATGCCAGAGTGCTTTGTGGGGAAAATAACTCTTCTGTTCAGTGTTGTTCTTTTGTATAATGTATAACTGATTCGGGACTTAGATTATGAATTGTCTTCTGAACTATGAACAATTAAAGTAAGCTGTGCTGCTGTAGTATGCATATACCTATGCGTGGAGGAATGTTTACTGCCCTAGCCTGACTTTGCAGGTTTCTAGAATGTGCTGCTTTGAGAAAAGGAATAAACATAACTCTGCAAAAGGAAATGCTTTTCTCTATCTGAGGGTGAGTGTAAAACAAGAATCATGGCTAGGGAGGGAACTTGAATTCACAGTAAGATTTAGGTTGTTCCCTGTGCCTTCTAATGCTTTCTGTACTTAATGCATACGGTTTTTGTTCTGTCTCTTCTTAATGGATGTGTTATCTCATTACTGGTTTAAATATAGAAAATTACTTGAGAAGTCTGTAATATATACATAACTGAGTGTGTTCTTTAAGCATAAAATCTTCTGAATGAAACTCCCAAAGACCTTTCATCTTAATGGTGGTTAGCTGTGTATAACAGAAAAAAGCTGGTCTCTGAGGAGAAATTCTGTACTCTTGCATACATAACAAGAGGACAGAAAAATGTGTAAAAGAATACATGGAAATAGCGTAATGACGGTTGATCAGTACTGTTATTGCTTGGAGGAGATCTTGAGGTTCTGGCAGTTCTGTGAAAATGACAACTGAATAGTCAATAAATCAGTGAAAATATTATGCATTATCAGGGAACAAAACAAAAACTAGAACCAAACAAAAACCAGATCCGGTTATACAAATTTGTGGTGTACCATAGATGCATTGCATTGTGATGTGTGTTGCTCCTTGAGTACTAGTCTCGTACATAGCAGAGCTGAAGAAGGTTCAGAGAAGGGCAGCAAGGATGACTGAAAGGCTTCATTTTAAAGAAAAACCTGCGTTTCCCAACTGCCTCTGTCTTCTGTCTCCACTCGTGAGTGTAGTGACTGCAGCATCTTGTAGACTTCTAAACAATGAACTTAACTCCCACAGCTCAGTGCAGACTTGTCCTTTTGTGTAAGCTTATGTCACTTAAAGCAATAGCTGAAAATGAAATGATTTGCTTAAACATTTTTCTTGTACTCTTGACCAGAATGCATTTCCTAATGACTCTGATAGTGTGCTTTCTCTGTAGGTTTTCTTTGAGTAAAGGATTTGGGGGTTTTGTTGCAAAATTGCAAGTTGTTCGCTTTCCTAATGCAAATACAAAAGGTATGATGTCCTGACTTATGGAAATAAAAAAAATGTATTGCCAGTTAAAAACATGCAGGTGTAAGATACTGTCTACAAACAGTGAATGTACTCTATTGGGGTAACCACAGTCTTTGTTCTTAGGTTTTCTGGCTTCCAGACTGCATCTTCTGAGCTCTGTAGAAGGACCTGTCTTCTTTTAAATACAGGGGAAAGTTAGGAAATAAAATAGTCTTGGTCTGAGTGTGTTAACAATGGGTCACACTTCCGTTCCATGTGACAGGAGAGGTTGCAGAAGGTAGATTCTTGTGCTGAATTTCCCTGCAACAGTGTGTAGAATGAGGTCAGATTTTAAGCATTTGAGGTATTGGGCAATACCAGGCTTGCTTCCAGAAACTGTCATGAATGTATTTAGTATCCCTTTACCTAACGGTAGAGGATGTAATAAATGAATAATACCACCACGGATGTTGAAGAAGGATAGGTTATATACAGAATTCTGCACAGGTTGAATTTGACTATGTGGGATTTGAGTTTCTTTGGGTCAGACAGGAATCTCATACAATTTTCATCTTGTTCATATTATCCTGGTAACACAGAGTTGAGTTTTCTGCCATTAAATCGCTTATGGTGATGACTTTTTTTAGAGGAACAACCAACTGACACCAAATTATTAGGGGAGTGACCTTATCTTTTCTTGTCACTTGGAATTAACAAGTTTATTCATCTGGTCAGGTAGAGAGTTATATAGCTTCAGGTCTTTTAAAAACTCTTTTTTTTCTTATGTTCATCAGTAAGGATGATAACTTTCTCCAAGTTGGCAGAATTTTTTGTTCTTAATCTAAAAAGGTATGAGATGGTTTTTTGGTCTTACCTGGTGCTGTTACTTAGGATTTTACTAGCTTTTTAACACTTGATCACTGAAAGTATATAAACAATGATGAGAGACAGTTTGCTGTAAGTATGAGTAAATATCACTAATGTAATTTGTTACACTAAGATTCTAAATTAAATGAGTAAAAGAGGGTTCGTTTCAGGTAGTCTTTTTATAACTGGGAAAGATCGTGTGCTCTAGGAGTTAAGAAGTCTCTCTACGTTAGCAGGAGAGAGAGTCTTAAAATTTATGATGCTATTAACGTATGTACAGCAAACAGTTATCAGCCAAAAAAGCATGAGAAATTGCTAGAAGTGTTTCTGGATAAAAATAATTACAACTTTTATTTAATATAATAAGAAAGAAGGTGCGAATTTTTCCAAAGTTGAAAGGTGTGTCACGTTCAAAGATCTGTCCCAATAAAATTGGGTTAAACTGGTTTTAATGTCGTCTTTAAGAAAGTTGTACTGTAAATCCATTATGTGGCATCATGTTGCTGTCATGCAACTTCTCCTCATCTGTAGGACTGACACTTCAGGACTAGTTCATGCAAGTAACTACCAATATAGTGTAATGAACTTGAGAAATATTCCTGTAAAAATAGTCACATACACCTCACTTCTAAAAATACTTCCCCAGACTGGTTGTGATCTTTACATGCTACCAAAAGTACACCGAATAGTTTATCCAAATCACAGGCTGGATGTTTATACCTTAAGATATCTTCAGTTACTGAATTCACCTTTCTCTGAAATTTGGGATTATGGTGAAAATAAGACTGCTGTGGGCGCATAGTTGTAATCATTGGGGATTTGTATAGAGTTACAGAAAACAGCTAATTATTAGAGTCAGTTAATTGATATGTATTGGAAGAAAGGGTTCTTTACCCAACTGCTCATGAAAGGTGTCTGAATAAAAAGACCGAACTGTAGGAAAAACCTTTGTTTAAACTGAAAGTCAGTTTTAGATTTGGATATGAAAATTCTGTAGGTTCTGCTTTGATTGATGAATGTTAAATGTCTTTGTGTTAGTACACCATTGCTCATATTTGGTGGCTGGGGGAACATAATTCAGTTCTGTGTGCTCTACATATGGGGAATAATTAGATTAGCATACAGAATTTCACCACCACTTGGTGGCAGTACCTGGCTTCAAAAGGACTTGTTTCTGAGCAGATAAAGTGGCTTTGATTGTGTAAAACTATAGGTCAAGGGGGAGTAGACTTGTTTTAAAATGTCTAAAAGTTAGTGGTGTGTTTTAGAAATGAAAATACTTTTTATTTAACATAGTGGAAGGATTTGCATTTGTGTGTCTCTATGGAAAATCGAGCTATCATGTCTAATACGTAATTTAAGAGTGTGTTTCTTGTGTTAATAGTATTCTCCAAAGATGTATTTAATGTTCCCCAGTTGAATTATTTCAGCATTTATTTCTAGCATTTTACTTCAATCGCATAGTGTACTTCAAGTAATTTTAGAACGTAGAATTTGCTTCATGGTAGTGTTCTTCATAATGTTGTCTTCTGCAGTTAAACAGAGGACTTCCAAAGCTGCTTTTTTGCCTTCTGAAACATCCTCTGCATTTTCACATTTTATTTATTGATATAAATTTTAGAAAAAGTTTCCCCAGTAGGGTTTGTTTTTTTTTTTTCTGGCAACAAAGCTAGGAAAAGTTTGTGCCCCTAACTTAGAGTTGTTGCCTCTCGGTGGTGCT